TTTTAAATATTTTACATTTTCATATTGTCTTGCGATTATTTCATATATAAAAATGTGCTGAAAAGAAAAAAAAAATAAAAAAAGAATAAAATTTTATATTTTTTTGAATGAACAAAATATTGTTCAATATTTTTAATTTTTGTTTAATAAATTTAAATTATTTTTTGAAATTAAATATTCATTATTATGTAATGAATATTTCACTATTATGTAATACTATTTATGTGAATAATATTTGAAGTCTCATTTTCGAAAAGATTTAATTTGAAAATTTATCGAATATACGTGTATATATGTGTTAAATAATTTTCAAGCGAGTAAAGATATTTATGGTAGAAATAAAGAGAAATTTTTAAATCAAAAAATTTTCTCAAAAATCAAAAGATCATTTTAAATCAAAAAAATTTTCTAATTTACTTTTTTATTTTACTTTGTACATAATTTGAATTGAAGATAATTTTTTCGTTATCTTCCTGAAACATTTTAAAAAATTGAAATATTTTTATAAAATAATATGTATATAAAATAATATATAATTGGCGTTTATATGATGATTCATATAATTATACTATCTCATTTTTCTTAATTAAAGATTAGATTTTAAAAAAATTGAACAAAATTTAATAAAAAAAATATCAGATAATAAATATGAAATAAAAAGCTAGATAGTGTGAATTACATATAACAAATATATTTATATAACAATACAAATATATTTTTTGTGCATTTTTTTTTTGTAAATCATAAATTGAACTTTTTCGTTTTACACAAATCTATTATAACAATATGATCCAAAAATAATGATAGATCGTGAAATATTTTGAGTAAATATTTTTGTTAAAACTAACCTTTTTATATTTTAATATATGTTAAAACAGATACAACAAAAACATCAACTTAAGTTTTATGTAAGTCAATAATTTATATAATTTAAAAGTAAAACAATGATAAATTAATGCCATTAAATCATTAATTTAAATTTTAAATTAAATTGTTTGAATCGATACCTGAATTGAAACATATTTAAAGTTTGTAGTCCGCTTTAATATTTTTATCAAATCATTTCTATTCTGATCTTGAGTTTACGATCGATATTTAATATAAAATATGATAATATTTGTACTGTCATACATTTGTATTATGTATATAAGAAGTACTTGAACTGCATTCTATCGATAATCTTTCTATCGATAGACTTTTAAAACAATTTTATTATAGAGACCTAATTCGCTAAAGATTCAGCTATAGTGACGATTCGCTCACTGAAGTCATATACTATTGGTCTCCCACTCTTCATCATTGCCAGCCATTTTATTCCTCATGCTGGCAATTCTAATCTAAAACTTCCTCTAGTAATTCTAGTGTTTTTGATTTGTATAAAAGATTCTAGATAGATAAACAAATATAATATTGTTTTGACATATTGATTAAAGAACATTTGTCTTACAACTTTTTATATAATAATTGTTTATAATTATTATTTAAGTACATTATATACATATAGTTACATATACATTATACAGTTATATTACGCACATTTCGAAAATTGAAATTGTAAATCGAAATCATTAATAATTAAATAAAAAATACATTAATATTTTATATGCGATATTGAATATTAACATAATAGGAAATGACAATAAAAAAAGAGATTTTTCATATTCATGGAAAAGACAATAACTAAATTAACATAATAAAGTCAGATATAATCACAATTCATTTCTTTCTGTTCTTATTATCATATATGGTATATGTCATAAAGTATTATACGATTTGTATACATCACACAAAATTAATATATTATATTAATTTATTTTTATATATTATATTATTATATATTATTATATTATTATATATATTAATAAATTACATAATTTTAATATTTTACAATGCATATATATCAACTTGGTTATCGTTTTTAATAAAAATTAATCTGTCTTCTATTTTCAACTATATCATAATGTGTTTTTGTGTAATTTTAATATTAATAAAATACTTGGATTTTTAATTAATTTGGATTACAAAGATATACATCAAACAATATATTTTTAGGTTAGATTATTATACGCAGATCTGAATATTAATATTAATCTCTTAGTATTTGAATATTCAATTTTGAATGAAATATTTATTATAATTTTAAATTGATTTTGAATTTAAATATCTGCAATTGTATATTTTCTTCATTATATGTATATTTTTATCTATCCATATGTTGTATTTTTTTTTTTTTATTTTTCATTCTTGATCGTTCTATTTATAGTTCTATGTTCTATATATAGTATCTCGTTATATTTAATAGTTATTTTATTCTTCAGAATAAGTGAACGATTAAATTTTTGATGGATTATAGATGAGACATTCTATAGATATTAAGCCGATACAGTTAAACGTTATTAATTATTCAATACGAAGATAGCAATAAAAATTATTGTATTAATATTGATTAGACAATATTTAATATATTATAATACAATAATATAATATAATACATTATATTAATAACATTTGTATAAGTTATACATTCAATCGATTCAAAAAAATATATATTGTAAATATATAGTTTTAATATATAAAAAAAAAAGATGAAAAATTTAATAAGTTTCAAAATATAATTTTAATTATATTTTATATAAATAATTATTATGTAATATAAATATGTATATGTAAATAATATTATAATCATATTATATGTAAATAATATTAATCATATATGTAAATAATATTAATCATATTATATGTAAAAAATTTGTTAAAGATAAATAATTTAAAACCAATTTTAAAATTGCTTTCTTATAAAAATTAAAAAATATTATTGAATATTTTTCTTGCGATTTTTATTAATATATATAATTTGTATGTCAAAGAATCTTAAATATTCATTTTTCATTCATATGTCAATTATAATATTTTTAAATAATTTTATTCTTAAAGACTGTAAAGTTAGTTTAGAAGTTGTATCATCTGTTTGAAATATAAGCGAAAAATATTCATTCAAGAAAATCTTGTTCAACAAGTTTTTTGAATAATTGATACTTATTTACGAATCTGCACATACTGATCTCATCGATTACTCACTTACAGGTTATGGTATGTTTTGATACAAGAATCACGAAATTTTATACAATCATAAAATATTTTATTTACAAACTTTTAGAATTTTTTTAATGATTATTATTACAAAAAAATGAGATTAAATATGATATATTTCAATTATAGAAAATTTATATGTATTTCTTTACCAATATTACCATTATAATAAAGTCTGAATCATAATGTATTTTAGTTAATTAATTAACGATATATTCAACAATTGATGATATATAAGATTATATTACATTATATTATATCATTATAATTTATTATATTTAATAAAATTTATATATAGAGATTAAATTTAAAAAATTATTTACTTAACAAATACATTTATATATATGTCGCACTCGCATATATGCAATGACAACGCCACATTGGTTAGATAATAAAATAGAAATAAAAGATTCACTAATTCGTCGCAATAGCGCACCGATTCATATAAATAAAAGATGAACAATTATATGATATAAATAGATAATATATAGATAGATATAATTTTATAACAAATCGCTATCGATTAGCTAAATCCTTCTATAACAAATAAATAATATAATGTAATGAATTCACTTAATGTATTTCTGCATTAGAGAACATATTAATAGAAAACGTATGATATTCACACTATTACTAACCTGTTTTTTTTGTAAATAATAATTAATAGGAAAAAAATAAAAAGAAAAAATTTTTACAGTTTCTATAATTAACGAAATATATCAATTTTCAATATTTTTTTCTTGACAAATAAAAATCAAGATTTTTAATTTTAAGTAGAATTCTATTATGCGCCAAACTCATAACCTACAAAATAATAAATAATAAAGTAAAAATTCTGTATACACAGGACAATGTTTTAGCCTCGTATGAATATTCTTGAGATAAACTTGAAATAAACCAGTTCATTCATAAACAATTCTCGATATATATTGCGTCAATAATATTTATGTTGTAAAAAAAAGATTGAAATTTTTTTATAAAATGTTAATTTACTTTTATTTGTAACTAGATTTGCTAAAAAACAAAATATGTATGACGTAGTATATGTTTTTTTTATTCTTTTTATAATTTAAATTAATAACAATTTATATTATAAAATGAACATCTTAAAATATTTGTACTTTGATACTATATCGAATATGCATTTTAATATACAAATTATATTACTTTAGATGATAAGTATAATCAATATATATATAAATACATAAAAAATCAGGAAAAAAAATTAATTTTTTACTAAACTTTTACAAAATATTTAAATTAATATATGAATAATAAATTTGTTTGCTTTTTATTTATGTTATAATTTTAAATTATTTTTATATAATATATAAATTTTTAAATTATATGTATTTCTAATAAAAATAAAAAATTAACAGTTATAAATGATTCCAATTTTTTTTTACATAATAATAATATATAAAATAATAATTCATGATTTTATCAATATTTTTATCAATATCCTTATTTAATTAAAAAATTTTATTCTCAATTAATAGCTATGTACTTCATTCTTTTTATATATTTGATATAATTATAAAATCGATATTTCAGAATATTTTTTATTTTGAAAAATTATAATCGGAAATTGGAAATCTTTTGAAAGCATGAATTTGTAAAGTAATTATAAACAAGAAAAACAAATAGTGGAAAAGGATAAAGATAGAATAAAAATCATGGCAATTGCGCCATTTCCAAAATGCCGGAGATGAAAGATGCCGCATAAACAGACGAAATGAGCAAATAATAAGAGAAGGATAAGAATTAATAATTAGCATCATTTATTGAATGTTAAAAGCATTTCTTTAAAAAGAAGATAGAGTAAAAATTAAAAATCAATGCTATCTTATTTTTAAAAAAATGTTTTTATCATTTCAACAGATGGCGTCAATTGTTAATTCTTACTTTGCTTTTAAAGACATGTTTTTGATATTCAAGAGATGGCGCTGATATTATAATTTTTATTCTATCTCTTTTTCTTATTATTTGCTTGGTTCTTCTAAACTGTGTATTGTATAAAGTTTACTTATGATACGTGAAAACGATAGCTCCGTAAGAAATTATAAATCTTTGAAATAGTATTGGCTAATAGGTTAACTTTTATAACAATTTTGTTTACTAGTAATCCTATAAACAATATTATTAAATAATGGTTAAATTAACGCCAGATTTAATTCAACAATCTATGCAATATATTAATCCTGTAAAAGATCGGGAATTGGATCTGAGAGGTTTATATGAATTATATTGACAAAATATAACCTAAAAATTGTCATTAATTTTTTATTTTTTTGTAATTTTTTATTGCAGGATATAAAATACCTACAATTGAAAACTTGGGCGCAACTTTGGTTAGTATTTTAGAATAATATTTAATGAATTTGTATTTTTTACTATTTTTATGTTACTATTTTATACTATTTATTATTATAATTTATAAAAAAATTAAATACACATAATATATAAAAATTTTTCAGGATCAATTTGACACTATTGATTTTTCTGATAATGATATAAGAAAATTAGATGGATTTCCTTTATTAAAAAGAATCAAAACTCTTTTTTTTAATAATAATCGTATTGTTAGAATTGGAGAAGGATTGGAACATTGTATTCCAAATTTAGAAACTCTTATGTTAACTGGAAACATGATTCAAGAACTTGGTGATTTGGAACCACTCACACAATTAAAAAATTTAACTAATCTTTGTTTGCTACAAAATCCAGTTTCTGCAAAACCTCAATATAGACAATATGTTGTATATAGATTTCCACAATTGAGACTTTTAGATTTCCGAAAAATCAAGATGAAAGAACGTGAAGCTGCAATTGCATATTTTAGAAGTAAAAGAGGAAAAGAAATGGTTCGTGAAATAGCAAAGAAAGTAAAAACACAAAATTCTGGTACATCTATCGACAAACCACTAACAACTCCAGAAGAACGAAATAAAATTAGGGAAGCTATTACAAATGCTTCTTCCCTTGAAGAAGTGCAGCGTCTTAGCAAATTACTTCAAGCAGGACATATGCCTAATGAAGATAGATTACAAAATGGTATCTAATTAAAATTTATATAATGTATTTATTATGTTTTATTATGAAAATATTTGATGGTTATTATTATAGGAAATACAATGCCTGAAGCAATGGAAGAAGAGGATGATTGAATTATTTTGTATTTTTCAATTTTAAATGCAACAAGAAAAATTTTTTCTATTATTATAAGTAAGTATTTGATTATATATCATAGATGAAATTAAAAAGAGCTTGTTAAGCTAATAAGAAAGTATATGCTACACAAATACATTTAAAGAAAAATATTTCAAAAAATAAAATTATTAAATTCCCTAATTGGCCTGAAGCGATTCATTAAAAATAATATTTATCATATAATCATAAATTTTGTTATTTTTAATATATATATATATATATATATATATATGTGTTTATTTCAGTGAGATTTCAATAAACTTCATGATTAAAAAGATAATTGTTTTATGTGTGAATTCCTTTCTCATGTAAAACAATATTATTTTTAATAAATATATATAATAAAAGTATCATAATGTTTTTTATACATATAAAAATTTATAAATGAATAATCTTTTTAATAATGTTATAAAAATGATTAAGAAAATTTATATTTGATATAAATTATCTGTTTATATTAAATTACATAATATAGTATCACTAGAGGTCAGTATTGTGCGTTATTCGCACTCTCTTGATTTTGTGTTATTTTTCCGATTAAAATTCTATATTATATTAATAAAATGGGTAATACATTACAAAAAGCATTAAGTTCAGATCCTTTTCCGGAATCGGAAACACCAACATTTGATCCGATGTTCGGATTTTCCGGACAACGTAAACAAAGAGGCAAGTATTTTAATTGAACCTAACCTTTAATAAATTTATTTTATATGTGCTATGTTTGTTTATTATACAATTATATAAACGATTATTGATTTAAAATTTCCTTCTATAATGCTATTAATTTTTTGCTATCATTTCGTTACAATATTATTTTTAAATATATATATGTGTTTATTTCAGTGAGATTTCAATAAACTTCATGATTAAAAAGATAATTGTTTTATGTGTGAATTCCTTTCTCATGTAAAACAATATTATTTTTAATAAATATATATAATAAAAGTATCATAATGTTTTTTATACATATAAAAATTATAAATGAATAATCTTTTTAATAATGTTATAAAAATGATTAAGAAAATTTATATTTGATATAAATTATCTGTTTATATTAAATTACATAATATAGTATCACTAGAGGTCAGTATTGTGCGTTATTCGCACTCTCTTGATTTTGTGTTATTTTTCCGATTAAAATTCTATATTATATTAATAAAATGGGTAATACATTACAAAAAGCATTAAGTTCAGATCCTTTTCCGGAATCGGAAACACCAACATTTGATCCGATGTTCGGATTTTCCGGACAACGTAAACAAAGAGGCAAGTATTTTAATTGAACCTAACCTTTAATAAATTTATTTTATATGTGCTATGTTTGTTTATTATACAATTATATAAACGATTATTGATTTAAAATTTCCTTCTATAATGCTATTAATTTTTTGCTATCATTTCGTTACAATATTATTTTTAAAATATTCAATATTTTTTTCGTATTATAAATAATCCATTAATGACATAATCATACGTTTTACGAAATTGTATAACTGTAAGTTAATTTTCATGATTTTTATTAAAGATTCATGTTTTTCGAAAACATATAAAATTATGAGTGGCAAAAAGTGAAAAATACATATTAGATATATATAAAAAACAATTTTATTTTATTATTATTATATAATGCATTTTTATTTAAATACAGAATATATAATAAAAAAATATATATATATTAGTTATTAATGTCATATTACAGTTATGCCTCTGTCAGAAGAAGAAATGATAGCTGCTAAAATTCCAGATGTTTTAAGAGATTACTGTGCTCATCTTTATTTAAATTATATACGTTGTTACCAGGAAAAATTCCCTTTTGTAACTCGTTGCGTAACAGAAATACATGATCATCAAAAATGTGAATATGATGAGTAAGTCTTAATTAAATTACTTATAGGAAATAAAATTAAATTAATTAAATTATAAGAAGTATTGCCAGATTATTATTGGTTGATGTTTATCATAAAGAATTTTTAATTATAATTTATGTATGTTACAGTTATATTTTAAGAGGAAAAGAATATGAAAGAGAACGTAGACTTCTTGTTAGAGAACGCAATAGGCAAGAAGCTTTAAAAACAGCAGCTTAGATTTTAGATTTATTCAAAAATATACATGTATACATTTAAATTAGATTGTGAAAGAGCAATTAATAAAGAATTTAAAATATAAATTATTAAAAATTATGTAAAATTATGTATTCTTATTATTATAATAATTCTTATTATCATATCTTGTATTTTTATATTTAAGATATGTTAAACAGGATTTTTTTTTCTTATTTATAATTTTAGTTTTAATAACTTTTTTATAATTTTTGTTGTTAAATTAATATTTTATTTCTCTATATAAATAAACTACTATCGAATTTATTATTTGTTACTAAAATTTTATGTTATAACAAGAATTTCAAAATTTTTACTTCTTTATTTCTATTTTGTTAATACATGATATATTAAGAATAGATTATAGTGTGCAAGTAATTCAATATTTATTCATGATATTACAAAAAAAAATAAAATAAAAGAATTACATATTTACAAAATGATTTTACCACGTATATAAATAACTTAGAATGAAGCTCGATCAATTCCTAAACAAATAATCACATTGTTAGGAGATAAATTCGTCTTTTTTACTCATAGATTCGAGATGAGCATGTCTGTCATCTCTTTGGAAGGGATATAATGGAAGAATCGATAGGTAGAAAGTGTCTCTACTCGACAGATTTTCGGGTAAAGGAAAGATATTTATCAGAAAGATTGTTCATTAACGTTTTTAACCGCGTTTCGTTGTTTTCTTATATAAAAAATAAAACAAGTGATATTTAACGAGTACTTTCAAGAAACTTCATTGTGCAATATTTATGTTTTTTAAGAAATGTACAAGTGTCAATATTATTAGACGCTTTTATCAATATTTTTATTGTATACATTATCCTGTTTGACGTCAATTATTTTTATTCAACAATATGTAGTTTCTAACATTTGACTGTATTGTATCAAAGATACAAAAGATGTTAAAATATAATAATTTCGCAATAATTTATGAAATAAATGTGAAGATAAATATATCACTTCATTTTGCTATTTTTTTATTTGTTTATTCTTTATGTTGCATATGTGAACATGTATTTAAAAATGTAGCTTATAATTCATGAAGTTTCTTTAAATACTCGCAAATATGTGACAATAATAATAATAATAAGAATAAAATATAATAAAAGAATATAAATACATATAAATTTAAGCAGAAGATTGAGCTTGAAAATTCATGAGATGAGCCATTATAATTACATTTATTTGAATATTTATTAAATTAGATATTTTTTTTTCAAATGAATTAATCTTTTTCTTTTTTTTCTGAAAGATAGTTAAAAATTCATTTTTACATATATTTATCGTTCAAAACAAATAGCTCAAAATAAGTAGTATATTAAAAAAAACTGCGATAATGACATCTTGCGGTGCTTAAACTAAAACTAATTATATATTTACAGTAATTTTAATTACAAATCCGGCGACAAGTAAAAAGTGCACTAAATTAACGACACTAAGGACCGATCGATGTATCGAATTATGTATATATTTTTCATATATCTACTTTTTTATATGAATATATATTATAAAACGAATTAAACTTGCTTTTAGTGAAAATTTTAATTCTTTTTAGCAAAAATATAAATTTCAATGATAACCTTGAATACATAATCGGTCAAAGTTTTCTTAAAAATAACTGCTTTGGAAGCCCTGGTCTGAGCTTTTTGCGAGACCTGAGATATCCTGCGGAGGATATGTAAGATAATATGTAAAATATATAATAAAATATAATCTTCTTCCTTACGGAAGGAATCTATAAGCTCTACTCCGATAGAATAATCACTTCGATCTTTCAAATGATCGAATTCACGAATCGATCTTTTCTTAAATATTTTCTTATATTTTTTTTTATATTCTTTTGCAAAAAAAAAATACAATTTTTTTTATACTTTTGAAAGATAAAAAATTTTAACAACAATTAAATAATAATTTACAAAAATTTGAAAATTTTTTTCATAATCGATTCGTGATAATCGAACATATATGTGCGACCAAAAGATCGATGTGTTGGAACGTATCGGAGGTAAATTTTAGGATAATAATGTCCATCGTGTTTAATCGTTCTTCAGTTCCTTCATCGTTCTGTCGTTATTATACGCTCGTCGATAGAAATCTGAGAAGAGGACGAAGAAGATCGTTGAATGAAGCAGTAAAAGTGCTGCTACTAGTTTTGGATAGCCGCAATCGAATATCAAGGCTTGGGCGCTGTGTACGAATACCAAAAAGAATTGTACCTGTAAACAAAAAAAGGATACATATATAAGGGTGAGTCGAATTTTATATTCTTTTTTGCTAAAAAATTTGTTGATATCATTTAAAAATACAATAATGTTTGCTTAAATTTCAATTAAAATTTCTTACCTAAATTAATGAGTCTTATCACTATTTTATACCAGATATTAGATTAGATATAGGATAAAATAGCGATATATATAGTGGGAATGAGAAAATAGAATAGAAATATATAAGAAAAAAAAAAAGAAAGAAAGAAATAATATAGAAATAATATATTTTCAAATAAATGGCATCGAAATATGTGATTTATTATCGTGGTAATAATGGAAGAATAATCAGTTATATGATCATATAAATATATTTATAGGATAAAATTTTAGCGAACAATGTGACGAAACGAAATGATTTTGTACGATCGATTAATTTATGGAAAGTAAAATTTTGCAATGCATTTATAAGACGTGCAATTGATTGCGCTTGTAAAACAAAGAATTTGCTATAAAAGGGAAAGTATTAGTTACTTTAAAATTACGTTAAAGTAATAGTTACTTATTATCTTCTTATTTTAATTTTTATTAAAAACAAAATAATTTATTTACAATAAGATGCAATTAATATTGCAATTTTGTGAATTTTATCGTTTTGTAGTACTTGAGTTTCATTTAATAATCTTTTTGTATTAGTTTTATGATTAATTAATTAAATTAGTGATATGTATTTTTTTTTTATTAAGTATGTATTCTTTTACCCGATACATATTTCATGACGAATTTATAAATTTGTCTTTTTTTTGATCGAAAAATCGATTATTCAAATGGATTTTTTCCAATTAATTCAAAGATTCATTCACATAACCGGAATTATGAATGATAGACTGATTATTCTTTATGTTCATATAAATTATAATTAACTATTAAAGTTTCATTCATATACTTAAATAGAGTTTATATAAAAGCTATTCATTTATATCTCATTTATATCTAGACATTTGTTCGATCTAACCTCAAAATTGCCATCTTCGATTCAAATTTATCTTTTCAATGTACATACAGAAACTTTGTGCATATTCAATACAAATTTTCTGATTTCGATTTTATTAGAAATATCTCCGAATTGATAGAAATAATTAATTTTTTTATTACTTTATAATAGAAAAAGGTATTTTTAAATTATTTTTTACAATTACAAGTATAAAATGACTAACTGTTTCCTAATCGCATATATCACTTGAAATGTTCCGTACAATTAAAATTCGAAAAAAATATAAAAATAATTTTGGTATAAAATTATTCCGCACCAGAGAAACGAGCGAACACACAGTTTTCTAACCTCACGATTTATTCGAAACGAATTGAATGGTTGCGGAACATCCTGGAAAAGAATCGACGACGATAACCTCAAATGTAAATGAAGTAGGGAGAGTCACTTGCATTGTGCGAGAAAGGACAACACGAGTTTTCCTTATATATTTTATGCCGATGTACGAGAAATTAATGAGTCTTACGAGTTAAATAAAATACGCTTTGCAGAGAGCATAGGTGAGGCTTCATAGTCATACTATCGTTTCACTGTAACACAAAGCTTAACTTTGCAATAGTGTTCTGGTGGAGGACATTATACTATATGATATATTGGAATGCCAAATTGTTACGCCACCACGACCGAGTCCAAAGCAAGTCAACCTGCAATTGCCCAACGTTTGTACTTTTCACTTTCCTTCGTTCCTACTATATGTTTGTGAGAAATTTTGTTTATCGATTTGTATAAGTAGCCAACAATGACTCAGGATTTCGCGAAAATATCGTTATTGTCGATGTTCGACTCCTCCCAATATAATTGAGGCATTTTTATAGAAAGCTTAAATGGTAAAATTGAAAATTTTATTTTTTTGTTAAAAAATATTCTATGTGTAAATAAGAATTGTTAATAATAGTGATAACTGTTACTGATATGTTGTATATTGTTTCTGAAAAATATTGTAGATATTTGTAGATATTTAACAATTTCTTTCTTGATAAATTTTCTTTGATAAAATCTAAGAGAAAGATTTAACTTAGATTTCCATTTCAATGTTTTATTATTATCTTGTGAAGAACAAAGATTATTATTATTTTGATTACTAATGACTATTTAATGGTTTCTGTTGCAAAATGTTGGATTAATTGAAAAGTTGAAGTAGTTGAAAGGGATAATTAATTGAGAAGTTTTATTACATTCTCGATTTTGAAGTTACAAATTGATTAGAAAAAAATTATGAAAATATACGTTAACATTAGCTGAAATGTTGAAACATTGAGAGATTTATGATAATCATTAATGAAAAATTTTTTCCACTGATTTTCATTAGTAAAAGATTAAAAGTTTAAGTTTCATTTAAATATAATTATTAATAAAAAAGTTCTTGAATTTTTCATTGATTTTCATTAATAAGAGATCAAATCATTTAATCTTTAATGTTTAAAGAATCAATGTTTAATAATGAAAGATTAAAATATTCATTTCTCTTAAATGCTATTTTTTGTAATAGTTTTTTTTACTACTTTTTTCTTTCATTTTTGAAAAAATAATTGTAAATTTAAAGAATATATAAATTACTTTTTTCTTTTTGAGATGTGAATTGTACTAATGTATTAATGTATAGACATGTATGTACGAGATGTTGCACGTTAACCAGCGAAACCTGAACACCAATGCTGAAATGGCGCGCATATGCAAACACTATGGTCGATGTGTCGTGGTTCCGTTCACTTTCATCAAATGCAGATTATTATCTAGCCCAACTGCAACCTGCACGTTGTGCAAGAAGAAGGTATCGCGAATCTCGCTCTAAAATGTATTTGGCGCTATTGGCCACTTAAGTATTGCGCGATTTAATCATTTGTGCTCAGAGATTGGAACTACGTGCCATCGAAATCTGATTTCAAAGATTAAGTCATCAACTATCTAACCTTTATCTAAAAAAATATTTATTATTATTTATTATTTCTTTTCTTTCTATTTATTATTAATTGAAAATCTCGTGTTTTTTTAAACATGAATGTTTTCTAACCTCTTCTGAATTCTAAAAAAGTTACTATAATTGATAATAGTGATCTCTTTGAAACTATAGACAAGATATTTTGTGATACAATATCGTTTGTACGATGCCACGAATATTGTGAATCTGAATATCATTCATCGAATTGAGATATGAATTTATTTAAGTAATTTTCAAAAGTTTTACTCTCAAATATATTCGTATTTTAAAGATAAGATTAACATCAAATTTCGCAAGACTATTTCATTTGAGATATCGTATAAACTATATTAGTTGCCTTAGAATATTTTGCTCGTGGAAAACATGTAAGAAACATTGATGTAAGAACATTTGATGTCTTTCTTGTGTCTTGCGACCATTTTTTAAAGGTTAGGAACGTATCGTAGAAAATATGATTGTGTCGATACTTCTTTTTTTCTTGCAAAATATTCTTGAATTTATATTTATGTATCTCTTGCTAAAGTTAAATGAACTTAGTCAAAATGGAATGATATCGATTCTATTATTCAAAAGATAAAATATTGAATATTTGAAATGAATATATTGATATTTCTAAGACAAGTAAGATGCATTATTTTCTTGTATTGCAGATTGAAGTGTAAATGATTGCATCTGTAGATGCACATCTCTTCAAAATTACGAAGAAAATTTTGCAACTTGCAATTTATTGGTGAACGTGAGACTAAATACCATTCATTTTGACGTAATAAAATCCTTTCTCTTTTTTTTTTCTTCTCTGTTGCCTGTATTTACTTGTATCAATGTAATCTATGATGTTACCACATAAATATTATTTTAACAAAATATTACCTTAAGTTCTTCTATTTTAGTTTTTGTGAAAAAATAAAAGTGTTCTATTTCTCAACTTGAAGACAATAATTGCGAATAATATTTCTTCCCCATAAAATAAGAATTCATTAATATTATTTTTATTTCGATTAAATCTAGATACTAAAATCTATTTATCAAGAAAATTTTTTTATTTACTTAGATCAATTGTTGTTAAACTTCATCAATTCCAAAATTTTTATATCCTTTGTATTTTACATCTATTTTACATCTAATCATTGATTTTCTTCAAAAATTTATTGCGTTTAAATTAAAAGAATAATAATCTAAAACGTGTCAATATATTTTGGAACACTTTTAAAAGAAATATTCTAAAAGCCAAGAGAACACAACATGTTATCTCAACTATTTGTTCAAATTTGACGATTTTCTGACGACACGTACCCAACACTAACCAACTGCCATTCTTTGAAAAGTAACAAGTGACGGATCATTTTTAAAATTGATATAATGATTAAAAATTATTGAATTGTTTTTAAAATTGATATTTAAAAATATTCATACTCTTAATAACAAGATAAAATCATGAAAAAATCCTACGTTTTTTGGCTTAAAACGATATACCTACCAATTGTACGGTGGTGAGATGTTTCTTCCACCATAAGTATTTTTGATATTCCGGTCCCATAGCGGATACCATGTAGTAGAGGTACATTATTACATGCACCGCGTTATTTATAAGGTTTCCCAAAGTACCATGTCCCCCAGGAATGAATTTCACACAGATCCATGTCTCCAGAGGAGTCAATGAGTGGTGATACAGATGCAAAAATGTCACCTGACTCTCCTTCTTGCGCAAAACGAAAAATATCTGAAAATTTGTGGAATAGATTGAAAAAAATGTTGAAATTAATTATTATTAATTAAAAGAAAGTTTATTTTTTACTTTCATTAACATCGAATTATCATTATTTTTCGTATCAATATTATAATTTTCATCATTAAGAAAATGAAAAGACTTGTTATTCTTATTGTTTATTATTAATTTATGAAATGATCATTAATTGAAGTAACAGTTAATCAAATGTAACGAATAATAAATAATAATGAAAATAATAAAACTACTTATTATATGAATGATGAAAATTATTATTATGAAAATTAACATTAAATTTTCATTGAAAATAACGAAGTTTATTTGCAAAAAAAAAAAAGTGAAAAACATTTGATTACAATCTACTTTATTCAATCTAAGATCTTTATTTCGCAAGAAAAATCATAACAAGCTTAAATGCGACGATTTTATCATGGACAGAATAAAATTTCTCTCTCGCGACACACTTGTTTTCGATTCGTAAGAGATCAGGTAAAAACAGTGTTCTGTATCATAATAATAGGCTCTAGCGAGGCAGATACCGTTTCTGCCTCGGTGATCAATTTCTATGACGAAAGAAATTCGGGAAATTACTGTGCACCATTGTCGAGCACATAGCAACGAAAATATTTTGATCCAGATTGAGATTTTTAGATTTTTAGAAACTCAAAATTCTCGAAATTATTTTTTTTTTTTTTTGAAAATCACAAAGCTAGATTTGAAGTCAAGAATTACGAGATAGCAATCAGAATTCGAATTTTTTTACATTTTTTGAAAAGTTTCAAGATATTGTCTTATGAAAATTTTTAAACTCAAATTCAGTGATTAGCAACAATTTTTTTTTTTTTTACTTGCAAGAAATTAAGATTTGAAAATTTGAATCTTTTTGAATTTCTTAAGAATTTCGAAATTAATTTCTCAAATTTTTTCTCAATTCAAGTTCGTAATTAATCGATTAGCAATAACAATAATTTTCCTAATAATTTTACATAGTACATAGTTTAACGGTAAATTTTTTTGACTTGCAAATTAAGATTAACATTCGAGAATTCGAAAGGATTTCATTCCTATTTTTTGGTCGATTCCATCTAATTCCATGTTTGATATTAACAAATTCAATTCTTTTACATACCGTGTCAGCGAATTCCGTGAATTTGCTGATGAAGTACCACCAACATAAATTAGCCATTCGTAGCGCGGACGGATTATGGGAGTAATCGACCGGTTGACACTTATAACTGTAGTCTAACAACCAACCGGACATCAAGTGCTGTAAGACGCAGAAGTTCAAGGTTAAGGTATTGTTTTCTATGTTTAATGATAATTATGTAATTATGTAAGCAATGTGAACGAGTTTAATAACCTAACCTCATTAATATTTATGTTGAAGTGAGATATAGATTTAATAGAGGAGAGAATATTGGCTTAGTGTTTAACAAAATTGAAATGTATAAAATAGATTTTTGGAATAGATAATCTAGATATTATTTTGAAATTATTTCATTCAAAGAAGAATATTTCAAATAGTTGAAACAAATTTTAATATATTGAAATAATTAGTAGTAACATGCAAATAATTCAAGTTACTTTTAATGTCCAAGTAATAAGAAATTAAAAATAATTAATGCAAACTTAAATTGGTCAATGATAATTAATTTGCATGTGAACTTTTGTATTTGTTTCGACTTTTGAATCTAATCTTTAAAATATAAAGATTCGAAAATGTTTATTCGAAATATATTATTATTTAAAACATTGTTTTCTCATGTTTTGAGAAACTACTTGCTAAAATATTATTACACATTGTTCGTGTAAACTCAATTTTTTTTAAACAATAATCGAGGAAATAAAAATGTTTATCTATTTCAAAAATCTACAGTAATTTAACATCGACTTACGATTAATAAAATTGCACCATCGATTACTATCGTTTGCACGATACATTTTCACAAATGGCACGTAATGAAAAGTTTATTCTCTAATTTTGTAATTTCTCGTTAGTAAAAAAAAAAAAAACGTTTTACCATTTTTTTATCCAATTTGACGCACATTATTGACTCAACGCCTCGATTTCTCAATTACGATTTAATTATTTAAAAATCATCGTTTCCACTAAGGGAATAATAGGATAACTTTCCTTCCAGTTTTACTTTAACGATCATAATGCGTATAGTGTAACCACTTGGCAATGTAATTTTTTTTTAACAAAATATTTCGAAATGGCTATCCACGTATATATAACGTGTTTATATAAACAGAATACCACAAATACACGAAGTTACGAAGCTTCTTATTTCCTTTCGAAATCGAATTGGAATTTTTCTTCTTTCTGTGACGAGATTCTATCATTCATCAAGGAAATAGTCAATTCGAATGAAATTCAGCCCATGAAAGTATTTGAATAAATCTTTTACGATTATTTATCATTTTGTTAATCAGATCCAGATTTTTGTTGAATATATGACCTATGAAAAATATTATGAAGAATAAAAATGAATTTTTCGTCCTGATATGTTTTTTTCTCGTAGATTTAAAAATTAATATAAATAAATATAAATAAGCAGATATTTTTATAGTAATATCGAATTAATTTATATATGTATGTAACACGAAAATAGTTGAAAATCATTATCGTATACCCCCAAAAAACGTCATAATCGCTCGATTTTCTTGGTATCCAATTATTTCTCGTACTTTTTTTTTCAACTCAGCATCGAGAAGTAATCTAGCCTGTATACAACTTTCTAAGATGATCCTCGATAGCTTTTATAATGTTCATTCAAGAAGATACGTTCTAGTTTTGTACTAATTTGGATCGAGATATTGATTACTTACTTATATGTACAGTTCTACGTTTAGTGCTGATATATATATGACATCTTTGAAGCTTCTCTAATATTATTTAAGGAATTGATTCTTTACGAAGAATTATTTCATTTGATGGGTAATCGTAAAATCAATTCACTATGATACTTGAACTAATCATTGATATGTTATTATGTACATATATATGTATAATTTAATATATATTATGTATAAAATTATTGGTTTAGATGAATTTATTTATTATAAGTTATTTACTCTATCTCTTTTCGTTCTAAACTTAATAAATAACTCTTAATCGATATTTTTTCACATTAAATTTTATTCAATTTCTACAATTCATTACGAATATATTAACATTCTATACAGGATATTCTAAAAATTGAGATAATTTCAAGCAACGTTTTCCTTTGCAAAAACTTTCGTTTTCGGTTTTGTTGACAAGTTATTAGTAAAAGACAGTGACCAATCACGAAGCGCGTAACCTAGTCGAGTCGCAGCAATAGCTATGTTGCCAACCGAACAAGTCCAAGCAATATATCTCGAAGAAAATGTGTTGATTGTAATGAATGTTTTTTCAATATTTTTTGATAAGAATCACGAACAACGAATAAATAAATAGATATAATATTCGATCTTCGAGATACGTTATTTAGACTTGTTCGTGATTGGTTGTCACATAGCCAACGCTATTATCGACTAGATACTACTAACTAGAGTACGCGTTTTGTGATTGGTCAACGTTGTTAACAAAGCCGTAACGAAAATTTTTGCAAAGAAAAATATTGCTTGAAATTATATTTTTTATTTTATTTAATTAAAATAACATTTCATTATAAATAATATAATGAATAATAAAATAATAAAAAATTATAATAAATATCAATAATATAAATAATAATTATTACATTACATAACAATCGAAATAAATTACTACTGTTTCACGAAAGATATCATTTTGAAAAGAAGAACGATTATAATGATAATTTAATTTTTAGAAAATTTCTCGGCTAACTAAATTTACTTTGTTGTTTTTATTGGATGCACGAATAACGAATGCGCAAGTTTCATAGAAAAATTTCGAAAATACAGTGCCTTCATTTAATAAATCGCCAGTTCGAGTGTAAATCTGTTGAGCAACCCGTTTTTGATTCGAGTAAACTTTTCCCCTTTTGCAACATCGTGTTTCACGGATATACCTTTCTCATCCCTGTCCCCCATTAGTAGTTATCGCGAAGATCGATCGTCACGGCTGTTGTCCTCTTTCAAAATTTCTAAGATAAGTGAAATGAAATAGGAATTCTGTAGTTTCTTTTCGTGTGTTTTTCGAGAAAGATTTTTCTATCATCTATTGTCATAATAAATAAAAGAAATATACAGGATGTTTCTAAAATTGTGACACAATCGAGAAAATGATTGCCGACAAACTATCACATCGTTCAAGATTTTGATATTGTTTGTGATAAACATTAGATTTAGAAATTAGAGAAGCATTTAATAATAATGCATTAAAATTTTTCGTTCGTTTAAATCCTACGAAAAAATTATTATATCATTATTGAAGATGGAAAACATTGATTGAACAGAAAGAGGTTAGGTTAGTATACCTATACGAAACTACCGTACTCTCGATTCATTTTTATTTCGAGAATCATCTCGTTTATATCACAATTTCAGAAATGCTCTATTTCATTTATACTTTACGAGGGAAATTTGTTATTTTGCGAATTCAACGCAATACGTAGCAAGTTATCGTACAATTCCGTCTTTGATTTGATGGACGAGTTGATTAACGAAAATTGTGTCGGAGAAGGGAACGTTTGGCGCAATGTTTCTTGCTTTTAATCGTAGCTCAAACTCTTGATTAATAGCAAGTACTTTCGATCAAGAATTTGCTTTACTAATGCGTGCGTTGCGATAGAGTGAAAATCGTTTCGGTCTTTGACCGATTACCACTCGTTAGAAGGCATAAACTTGAGAACGTTTTGCGACGAGCGTTATTATTAGACCGTTCAATTGTAGATATACTTCTTATTAGAGAATCATTTGGATCATTTGTCGTTCGAAATGAATTAAAAAAAAAAAAAAAAAAGAACGATTGAATACTTCTTTTGTAAGATTCGATTTAGATTTATATTTCTTAGTCGCATCCAACTTGATTCCAGATTATTATAGATGGGAGAAACTATCTGGTAAATATCGTAATAATTTTTATTGACGTGACGTCACATTATGCATTTTTGTATTTGGAATTAAATAAAATCATGTAAGTGATTCGTAATAAAAATTCATTCATTCTTCGTCAAACGGACAAGAAAATCTTCTTGATTTAAATACGTGAGTTTCATAAACTCACTTAACATTTTCATAACCTCGTTTTATAATATGACATCGTCTTTTTCTTCATCGTGATAAAAAAAATTTCGTCTGTTCTTCGATATTTTTTTATCCCCGATTTAACGTACCACTCTTCTCTCACAAAGCCAGAGTTCCAAAATTGTAATAAAGACAGTTAAATGACAGTTAAAAATTTTGATCGACACGTCCGAGGCACAGAAACGAACGAATCCGGTGTGAATGACCGACATGTCTCGAAGGACGTGTGGTTTTCGAGTCATCTTGAATCACGAGGTATATCTGATTTCGTGGACTTTGCTCTGGTGAGATTCGATAGAGGGCGCTTGCGAAACGCGACATTCCAACTTATACTCGATTAAGAAACTCTCTATACACGTTGAATGAGCTCAACTGATTATTAATTTTGGTATGGATTTTTATGAAAGTTTATGCAGGCGTGTAATAAATGTGTATGTGCAGAATAGAAAGGAGGACAGTTTCATTTTGATTTTTGAATTATTATTGTAATGTAACTCGTATAACGTGGAAAATAGTCGATGAAAAGATTTGATACAGATTTGACATGTTTCTTTTTTCTCTGTCTAACAGAGGATGGAATAGAGAGACTTAGAGTCTTCTGAATATCTTAAAACTTTCAATGTTTTTTGTTTTTTGAAATATAAGCTTGTAAATATAAATTTTAGATCTGAGTTTTTGTCTAAATATATGGAATTCAAGTTTTAATGTTTTATAAAAATTACATTTTCAAAACTCAAAGAGATCTTTTGAAAATAAAATTGTTCTATAAGTTTACCAAATCGTTCAAATGATCTGCAATGAATAATTTCGTTGGATGTCAAAATATCAGCTTTTCATCATGATACTTATTTCCAAAAGTATTTTGATATTTATATAATTTTAAACGGTTTAATTTTAAAATTATTTTTCATCATCATTACTTTTCTCAACAATTTATCATCATTCTTTGTTCCAAAATTTTAAACACGCCCAATTAATCTTACAAAATAAACTTAAAATACACTTTTCCACGTTTATATACGTCGTAAAAATTGAAGAAATATTTTACTCGTGTCTGGATATTTTTCTCGGCAACTAGAATGTTAATGTTAAACGGTAGCAGCTATTGTGATCGTTTATCGACGAAGGAGACCGTTCGAATCACCGGCTACACCGGCTATGCAAGTGCTAATGGCTAAGCGCTTTCACTGTTACACTTCGAACTGACGCATGACTTAACAAAATCCAACTGGTATTTTCATCCGACCCACTTGTATTCGTGATCTTCTTCGGAGAGAGGCGAAGTAGAGGTCTGCCAATGCATATTCTCATACGTCTTTTGAATAGCTTTGACGCATCAGCATATTAGAGAAAGGCTATTGGGTTTCGAAACGTTCTTGAAACCTTCTTAATTTAATTTAATTTTTATTTTTAAGTGTATTTTTATTTTATAGTGCGATTATATTTTATATTTTTTCATGAAATATATATTAATGATAACGATAAAATTGATAAAACAACAGTTTTAGAGATGATGAATCACTTATTTCAAGATCAAATTGTGGTTACAATTAATGGAGAAAGTTTAATAAAGTTTTTGTTCATAATATAATACATTCAATGAATTTGTACACAATGTTCAATATAAAATTATTATATGAATTTATTTATATTTAACCTAATATATTAGGTATATTTTTGATCTGATTGTAATTCCTTCTTATTCGCTTTCAATTATCATATTTTTAAGAATTAGATGAACAGATTAGATAGTATTTAAGGAATTTTAGATTAGAAATCAATAGAAGTGATTTGGAAGAGTTAGATGAACAGATTAGATAGTATTTAAGGAATTTTAGATTAGAAATCAATAGAAGTGATTTAAATTGATCTGATTCCATAAAGTAGTGTAATATATTTAATTTGTATTTACAAAAAAGTATTTGGCCTTTGCTGCCTTATCATCTATAATTATTATAACATAGTGTAAGAATTCTAATGAAATTCTAGCAATTTCTAAATAAGGAATTCAAAGAGGTAGCCGGATTAGGAAAAATATTTTGATGCCTAGCCAGCCTTTAAGCCTCTTTTCGCTTTAGATGATGAAATCTGCTTTTACATTCCTATTAGTTTGAACGAAATCACGTGTAACATTGCGTGCTTCAACTAGCATCAGATTTTTTTAATGAATCTTGAAGAAGAAAGAACTCGTGAACTACTTCTATCTAAGTACATCTTCCAAATAAATTCGAACTCTGTGAATTTGAAAGAAATATATAATTTGCAAGATAGATTTGAAATTTAAGAGTAGAGTACTTTATATGAAATTCTCCATTTACTTAAAAAGACAATGATTCTCGTAATTTTAAACAATTCGTATGGAAATATTCTCCACATTTATTAAAAAACAAAAACCAATCAATTTGCCACACAACAATCTCTCTCTCTCTCTCTCTCTCTCAACTTTCAATTAAGCAAAATTCAGTTATCTGCCTCTCGATCTCGGCATTTCTTACCTCGTAGAGCATTCCCAACGAGAAGATCACTTGGAACGCGTTGTACGCGACCAAGGTCCCCCTCAGCTTGAACGGTTTCCTATTGGCCATCGCACGTGGACCCAGTATCGTCACTCCATACAAATAGAGAAGGACGATGAGAAACGTTGGTATCGGCGAGTCCATCAGGGGCCAGTCACTCACCCGTGGATCGGAAACCGTGGTGAGGATTTCCGTGTACTGGTCCAGCGCCATCTTGACCAGCCCTTGGGCGCCCACGAACGTTCGATTCGTGTCCGCCATCTCGATTCTCGATTCCAATTCTCTCTCCACCACCAACTCCGCTGCCGCCGACGCCATTTCTGAAAATAAGAGCTATTAAAATAAATTATCGGCCCATCGAAGTTTTTAAAATTGATTCGAGGGGAGAAAGCGTTATTTCTAAGGAGTCTCACTTCACTTTAAATTATGAATATTTAATCCTAACCTAACTTAATAATCGGTATATCAATTTTTGATGAATTTTGATATCGCAATAAATATGACTTTTAATACAACGAATTCAACTTAAATTTAATTCAATGTTTCCTTTCCAAAAATAGAATATATATTTATACACGTATTTTATCAAAGATTTATACGTAATTATAAAGTTGTAAAAAAAGGAAACTCGTATTTCAAGAAACGCAATTGTGAAACAGAGGGCATTGAAAGTAAAACGCGACAGGTCGAAAGATCGTCATCCTTGTATTGTATATAACAGCATTGTCTGATTAAGAAAGTGGCTATCCTTCCTTCGTAGAATCGCGTTTATTTATCTCTCTTACACTGAGTGATTAATCGGCTGTCAGAGAATGCAACGAACGATAGTATATTGCAGATTTGCAACAGATTTTGATGACTGGCAATGAGCTCATTTCTCTTGTGAATCATTATCATCATCATCATCATTATCATTATCCATTATCGTCGTGTTTCGCTTCCATCTCGATTTTCTCCTTCGATCGATCGTATCGATTTTTATCGAGTTTTACAATCTTTTCACTTCGAATTTCTATCGAATATATCTCGTCGTATACTCGTAATGAAACGATGTTGGTGTTGAAAAAAATGTTATTGCCGGTATTTTTGCATTTGCAGACTCTTTAACATGTTGATCGAAGAGATTTTTGTGATTGACTGTACCCTGTGTCGAGTAACTATAAATTGTTACATATTATAAAACTAGTGGATTTTTAATTAACCGTTAATTATTATCTTGGATAAAAAAAATTACTCTTCACCATCTTATTAATAATCTTGCCGCATTTTACAAGATTGGTTGTGCAAGCATTCTCATGAGCTTGCACGAATGGTCGACTTAACACTGTCGTAATATTATTCGCAACTCGTTTTTTCTTCGATTTGCAAAAATGTCGAACTTATTCCTTATTCGTTAGGACGCGTAGAATCGATACAGATGATGTCTTTGTCAAATTTAACTATATGAAATCTTGGATACTCAATCTACTTAGCTCGATCGATAATATAATTTCAAATAATCACATTGATATTTACAACAGTTTTGAAACGAACGAACTGTAACAATTTTATATAATGTTACGAACGTGTAATTGTGTTACACAATTGATGAGAAAAAAGATAATGAAGATAACTGATGTTACTTGTGAATAATAATATTTTCCAATGAATGAGAAATTAGATAATTAGGATTAATTGAATATCCAAGGTGTCTCGACGTCGTTCAACTTTCGCTCTTCATTCATGATTGCTCGAGTTGCTCGAGATGTAAAAGAGATGTTTTTTTATTATTATTATTATTATTATTATTTCTACAACTGCAAAATATTTCTTTATTTTGCGTTGCGACATTCGTAACGTTGAAAAAGAATTTTGTGGGACGTGGCTAATTTGAGTTCTACTTAATATGAAAGCGAAATATGAAAGCTTGAAAGTAGATACGTAGTGATAAAATTGAAACAAAAAAGGAAAAAGAAGTATTTATACGTTTGAAAACGAGTTCATTGAACGTGTTCCATTATTGCATAGAATATTTTTCATTTATCTTATTTTAGTTTAATTTTTTTTAATACGTAATTATTGCTGCAAAATAAATAAAATTATTAAATTGTGATTGTTGTAATCCAAGTAATATATATTATTTGATTTATATTACTCTGAATTTTCATGTCTTCTTGTTGTCTTCTTTTTGAATTTAATTAGCTGCACTTTTTTTAAATTAGATCAACTATAGAAAAACTATACTAATTTTTAGTTTACACTTAGTGCAGCAATGTCTGATTACGAATAATACATTTTTAAATTCTGAAAATAACTTCAATTATTTTCATCTCGTTGCCCAAAATTTTCATCGGTAAATATTTTACACGATCGAGAAAAGAGGTTAACAGGTTATTAACAACCAGCTTCAATTTTTTCTTGCTCGAAATTGCATCACGAGTAATCTGGTGATTTTTGGACAATCGTATCGGCTTTTGATCCAATTATTCGACCAGAGCGCCGTATATAACGAGAATGCGGTTTCACGCATGCGTCAACCGACTTTGTTTGGTGAAAAATATGCCACGAAAAATCGATCGAAAATGTTTCTCGATTATCTTTTGTGTTCGTGTTACGACAAGCTTTATTCAAAAGGCTCTATTCGATGAAAGATAAAGATTAATTTCTAAATCGAGTTATATTAGGTTAGGTTGAGTGCAATACAATTTTATGGCGTGGTCGTTTAGGCTATCGTGGAAACACGGTCACAAATTAGGTTAGACTCATGGCGTATAACAATTTACAATTATTTTTTGTTTTTAATAAAACGGTATCAACTTCGTATATAATTTCGTATTATAATTAAATTTCTTACCGACTTCTTTGTAACCGACGTTATTGCCAGTAACCGTCGTTCATAAATTACACGACAAGGTGTATCAGCAATAACCAGCATAATACGTTACTAAGTTTTTAAAATAAAAGCCTTTTTTCTTTTTAAACAGTTTCGAACAGGAACAAGAAGTGTGATAAAAGTAAATGAAGAAAAATATTATTTGGAATAATGATCTTGAACAACGTATATCAAGGTCATTCAGTGAAATCACTTCCGTTCCAAATAAATTACTTTCAAAAGATATCCTTTTTTTTTTTNTTTTTTTTTTTTTTTGTTGCAAAACGCACGCCTCTCTGCCGAAAAATTATAATACAAATTATATTTTTTTTTACACAACGAAAAATACACATCGTTGCAAATGTAACTCGTTTTCCCCCGAAAAATTCCCCGATCAAATCAATTTCGTCGTCTCGTTTCACCTGGGCATCGGATGAACGGGACTCGTCACTCGGAGAAAGTCTCTCGTGGACCGCCTCTGTCGGTATAAAACAGCACATCCGAGGTTTCTCTGGAAGCGAAGCAACGGGTTGGAGAAAGAGAGAAAGGTGGGATGCCTTCTCTCGAACGGGAGAAAGGAATTCGACGCAGGCCAATAACGATAACCGACCGAACGATGACGGCGGGATGACGAGGATGAGATGATGCCCATTGGGAACGCGTCTAAAACTCGCTTGCTTAGAGTTTAGTGGGTAAGTGGGTCGTCGATCCGGTTAAACGCCGCGATCGACCTTTACCTCGTCCCTCGTATCCCGTGGTGTAGCCGGTTCTGTTCCTCTTCCTTCCATGTGTTTGTAACGTTTTTTTTTTTTTTTTCTTATTTTTCTCTTCCCTTCTTCCTCCTCTTTCTTCCAACTTTTTGGGAAAATTAGAGTTACAAGGTAAAAAGGGGGAAGAGTTAGAAAGAAGAAAGTGATTAAAAAAATTTCTGAGTATAAAATGTGCTTGAGAATTTTTTTAGGAAAGTGGAAATATGAAATATTTATTATAATATTCCAAGTAATAAACGAGAGTAACGTCAAACGAAATTTTCTAAACGAGTGAAAATAAGCGAGCTATTGATTTTCTCCAAGGACACAAGAACACGAGTTAAGTTTCGGCCTTTTAACTAAAAAGCGAGAGCAAAAAATTAAATGGTGGTGGAATGGAAGCCGCTGATTGGTCGGTCGACGATAATTTTCCAACGGTCGGTCGCCAGATAGAAATTTAACGAAAAACACGCACGTATATTGTTAATATATATATATATATATATATATATATATATA